AGGTGAGCTCGGGTCATATGGGGTGGCATATGGGTAGACTGGTGGTGAAGATCATGGAGTCTGCATTTGACTGATGGGGTCTCAATCTGGACCACTTATTGCCATCTGATCTTGGAAAAGTTATTAAGTTCTCCGTGCCTCAGTTTCCTCATTGGTAAAAGGAGAGTAATAACCAACTGTATTAGTTTGCTAGGGCTGCCATAACAATGTATTATGGACTGGGTGGTTTAAACAACAGAAATTAATTTTCTCACAATTTTAGATGCTGGAAGTCTGAGATCAAGGTGTGAGCAGGGTTGGTATCTCCTGAGGCTTCTCTCTTTAGCTGGTAGAAGGTCATCTTCTCTCTGTCCTTCAGTGGCCTTACCCCTGTATGTGTCTGTGTCCTAACTTCCTCTTCATGTAAGGGATACAAGTTATATTGGATTAGGGCCTACCCAAACTATTTAATTTCATTTAATTACCTCTTTAAAGACTCTATTTCCAAATACAGTCACATTCTGAGGTTCTGGGGGTTAGGACATCAACACATGAATTTGAAGCGGACATAATTCAGCCCATAACCCCAACCTGAGAGCACTGTGGAAGGACTACAGGAGACAATATGTGTAAAGCATTTAACACAGTGTCTGGAACACAGAATGAACACTCAATCAGTGTGAGACATTGTTACATGGTGCTGTGGAGCCTCAAGTCATGGGGAAAATCAGGGAAGGCTTCCCCAAGGCAGTGACAACTGAGACAAGCTCTGAAGAATGATAGGAATTAGCAGTTCAAGGGACAAGGTATTGTGAGCGAGATGAGCATATACCCAGCAGAAAAAACACACAGATTCTCTAAATACTGCTTTCTCAACTTTAATGTGCATACAAAGATCTAGGATCCTTGTTAAAATGCAGATTTTTGATTCAGTAGGTTCAGTGCAGAACATTTCCAACAAAGTTCCCAGGGATGCTGGCGAGGCTGGTCCCTGTTCCACACTTCCACTTAGCAAGGCTCTAGCCGGGTGAGAACTCTCGGAAGGAAACTGCAAGCCATTCAACGATGGGGGCATGAAGATTGCAAGGGTGTGGGGGCTGGAAAGTACGGGAGAGGAAGAAAGTAGGAGAGATGAGATCTGATATGTGATCACTGCCCAAGAGACCAAATCACAAAGGGCCTTTTAAACTGAGAAAAGGAAAAAAAAAAAAAAGATTTGGAAGACCCAAGAGGGCTTTAGCTGCCAAGTGGAAAAATGGGTTGAAGGGAAACCCCGCTGGGAGTTGACGGCCCGAAGTAAGATAGTGGCCTTGGGCATAGAGAGAGGTGGAGAGATCCAAGAAATACTGGAAGATGGAATCAACGATTTGGTGACTGGTTTTCTTGCGGGATAGAGGGAAGGGAGGACACAAGCAAGACTTGGCATGAGGATGTCAGGTTGTTTCAGCTGCTACAGTGGACACAACACAACTGAACACGTGGAGGATCGCTGTTCCTCAGCGGCACACACAGGCAGTGTCTCTCTTCTCCATCTTGAACACTTCTGGTAGTTTTGGAAATTGTCAACCTTCTTTCTTCAAACTTCCTTCAAACTGCCTCACATTCTACTAAGTACTCAAGGCCTAGTGGAGAAACACAAAATCAGGAAGGTTAACCTGTACGTCAAAACTGAGCACTCACTCTTGTTTGGTTCAGTCTCTGGAGTTAGTCCTCCCAAATGAGCGGTTCCTCCCCGAGGGCAAGGGCCGTGTCAGCTCTGTCATTTCCATTCCCCACAGTGTTGATGAATGAGAAGGTGCTCAATAAAAGCCAGTTGACTATCTGGTAGAATAACATCTAGATGACAATACATCAGTGCCATTTGTCATCTCATACAATGATGATGATAACGACATCTGTCAGGTGTTGAGTAAGTGTTTTACATTCATTATAAATGCCATCATCTTTGGATGATCATAAGCTCTGAGACTCTTATTTCAGGCAGTTTGGACAAGAATGCATTTGACTACAGCTTCACGGAATTATCGTAAAACGTACAACGGAAACCCATCCGTTGAATGCCACTGCCATCTACTGTTCCTGCGGTAAAGTAACACATCGTGCTTTCCATGCAGCGTTCCCCCACTCCCACGGTCTATTCTTTACTACTGAATTTTTGTTTTCCTCAGATCTCAAAGGGTTTCCATGCTTTGAGCGCCAACTGACAGTAGATGTAATTTTATAACAGTTTCTGGTGTTTCGTTATAACAATATATTGACAGTTTTCTCTAGTGGGCAAGAAGAGTTTATGACTTTATAAAGTATTAGATTCTTAACTCTATTAGGCTGGTTTCAGTAAAACCAGAAGAAAAAGTTCATGGAATTACTGGAAAATTTTTCGTACCTCTAGTAGATGTCATTAAACCTTCCCCATTTTTAAAGTGTCTCCTTTCAAATGACACCTCCGTAACGCTGTCCCTGATTCCTCACTCTGGAAGTGCATTCTCCCTTCCACAACCAGTAATTGTTACACTGAACCACACAAAGACAAAAATTCCAGTTTAAGAAAAAATGGCTTTATAAATCACTTCCCTTTTCTGTTGGTTCCTGTTTTTCTTTTGCATACGAACAAGCTAACCTGGAATCTCTGGGGTTACATCTCACAAAGTGTTTTGAAAGGGACTATTTTAGGAAGGACAGGGACGAAAGCAGGGACAGGATCCATCTTTGGACACGCTGAGACTCCGGCCTCTCAGTGCTCGAGGGTGCGACGCGGCCGGGACCTCAGAGGTGAGTGCGGTGACAGCATGTGTGTGCGTGTGTGCGTGTGTGTCAGCGTGTCTGTGCGGTGACGGCATGTGTGTGCGCGCATGTGACAGCGTGTGTGTGCTCCTGAACGCAGTGACAGAGTGTGCGTGTGAGCGCGGTGATAATGTGTGTGTGGTGTGCGCGTGCGTGACAGCGTGTGCACATGTGGGTGTGCGCGCCTGTGTGTGACTGAAGCCGCACCGGCCGGGACCGAGTGCTCGAGCGCCCCCTGGCGGCACCCGCGGGGCTGCGGCGGATCCCCGGGTGTAGGCTGGAACTGGCCCGCCGCAGGGGTCACCGAGCCCGCCGCGGGGAGGGGCCGGACCGCGTCCCCTGCTCACGCGGGGACCCGCGGGCTCCCCTCTAGCTCAGAGTCACACCTTCCCGTCCACCCGCGGCTTATCGGGTCGGCGCGGCTCGCCCGCTCCTGTGACGAGGGCAGGAAGAGCCCTGGGGAGGCGGCCGCTCGGCAGACGCAGGGCCAGGGGCTTGCGGGGTCGGAACACTTGTCCCCCGGTCCGGCTGTACTTCCGGAGGCGTTTCCCGCGGACCGAGGCAGTGACGCACTTCCGGCGCAGACTCCCCGTCTTCCGGGTTCCGCGCTTCGTCTCTTCCGCCCGTAGTCTCCGGCGGCTGGGCTTGGACGCTACCCTGCGGAGGCCTCGCCCTCGTCCCCTCAGCCCGCCAGCGGAGCCCGGGGCCTGGGTGAGGGAGCGACGCGGCATGGAGTTCGCCGAGCTGATCCCAACACCGCGCGTGGACGGCGTGGCGCTGCACCGGCCCTCGCACGCGGCCGTCGAGGGCACACTGTGCCTCACGGGCCACCACCTGATCCTGTCCTCGCGGCGGGGCGGCGCGGAGGAGCTGTGNTTACTACTGAATTTTTGTTTTCCTCAGATCTCAAAGGGTTTCCATGCTTTGAGCGCCAACTCACAGTAAATGTAATTTTTTTTTAACAGTTTCTGGTGTTTCATTATAACGATATATTGACAGTTTTCTCTAGTGGGCAAGAAGAGTTTATGACTTTATAAAGTATTAGATTCTTAACTCTATTAGGCTGGTTTCAGTAAAACCAGAAGAAAAAGTTCATGGAATTACTGGAGAATTTTTCGTACCTCTAGTAGATGTCATTAAACCTTCCCCATTTTTAAAGAGTCTCCTTTCAAATGACATCTCCGTAACGCTGTCCCTGATTCCTCACTCTGGAAGTGCATTCTCCCTTCCACAACCAGTAATTGTTACACTGAACCACACATAGACAAAAATTCCAGTTTAAGAAAAAATGGCTTTATAAATCACTTCCCTTTTCTGTTGGTTCTTGTTTTTCTTTTGCATACGAACAAGCTAACCTGGAATCTCTGGGGTTACATCTCACAAAGTGTTTTGAAAGGGACTATTTTAGGAAGGACAGGGACGAAAGCAGGGACAGGATCCATCTTTGGACACGCTGAGACTCCGGCCTTTCAGTGCTCGAGGGTGCGACGCGGCCGGGACCTCAGAGGTGAGTGCGGTGACAGCATGTGTGTGCGTGTGTGACAGCGTGTCTGTGCGGTGACGGCATGTGTGTGCGCGCATGTGACAGCGTGTGTGTGCTCCTGAACGCAGTGACAGAGTGTGCGTGTGAGCGCGGTGATAATGTGTGTGTGGTGTGCGCGTGCGTGACAGCGTGTGCACATGTGGGTGTGCGCGCCTGTGTGTGACTGAAGCCGCACCGGCCGGGACCGAGTGCTCGAGCGCCCCCTGGCGGCACCCGCGGGGCTGCGGCGGATCCCCGGGTGTAGGCTGGAACTGGCCCGCCGCAGGGGTCACCGAGCCCGCCGCGGGGAGGGGCCGGACCGCGTCCCCTGCTCACGCGGGGACCCGCGGGCTCCCCTCTAGCTCAGAGTCACACCTTCCCGTCCACCCGCGGCTTATCGGGTCGGCGCGGCTCGCCCGCTCCTGTGACGAGGGCAGGAAGAGCCCTGGGGAGGCGGCCGCTCGGCAGAGGCAGGGCCAGGGGCTTGCGGGGTCGGAACACTTGTCCCCCGGTCCGGCTGTGCTTCCGGAGGCGTTTCCCGCGGACCGAGGCAGTGACGCACTTCCGGCGCAGACTCCCCGTCTTCCGGGTTCCGCGCTTCGTCTCTTCCGCCCGTAGTCTCCGGCGGCTGGGCTTGGACGCTACCCTGCGGAGGCCTCGCCCTCGTCCCCTCAGCCCGCCAGCGGAGCCCGGGGCCTGGGTGAGGGAGCGACGCGGCATGGAGTTCGCCGAGCTGATCCCAACACCGCGCGTGGACGGCGTGGCGCTGCACCGGCCCTCGCACGCGGCCGTCGAGGGCACACTGTGCCTCACGGGCCACCACCTGATCCTGTCCTCGCGGCGGGGCGGCGCGGAGGAGCTGTGGCTGCTGCACGCCAACGTGGATGCCATCGACAGGCGGTGAGTCGTGCGCGAGTGTGGACGGCCGGGGTCGGGAAGTGGGAGGTCGTGCGCGCGAGTGTGGACCGCCCCGGCCTGCGCTCGCCCCGAGTCCCCCAGACGCCGAGACCCTGGCCGCATTCTCAAGCAGGGCTCTCCCGGGACCCCTCGGCCGCTGGTCCGGTGTGGCAGCTGTCGCGGTCTCGATGTCCTGCTGCCTCTCTCTGTCCCGCCCTCTCTCTCTGTGGACCTTCCTACTGACCGACCCTCACTGCTCGTGCCCCTGTCCACCTGGCAGCGTCTCGTCTCCGCAGCTTACTGACTCTCTTCCTTCGTGTAGACAGGCTCACTGCTCCCGAGCTTGTTAAACTTTATCAAGTGCCTTTATGTCCCAGACGTTTTGTGAGGTGCTGAGAACACTGAGACGGGTGAGGAACCGTTTTCGTCTTCTAGAAGTGCACAGGCTCTCATCTGACTGTTCTTGTCTGTCAGTGCTCAGTGTGACCAGTACAACTGCTGGCTCCTTCACGGGGGCTTCTGCTTAAGTGCCTTTATGTCCCAGACGTTTTGTGAAGTGCTGAGAACACTGAGACGGGTGAGGCACCGTTCTCGTCTTCTAGAAGTGCACAGGCTCTCATCTGACTGTTCCTTGTCTGTCAGTGCTCAGTGTGACCAGTACAACTGCTGGCTCCTTCACGGGGGCTTCTGCTGATCTCACAGCTGGTAGTAATTCCCTCCCCTTGAAATCCCACAGCTCTTGAATTATACCCCCTTCATAAGTGTATATTCAAATGTATGTCGATAGTCACACATATGATAGCCCTTTGAAGCCAGAACTCACATTCGATTCCTTTTTATCTCCTTCAGAACTCGTAACTGTGGTTTAGGCAGAAAGTCACGTGAGAAGTGAAAGAAGGGTTGTCCACTGAATGGTAGAATGCAAATTAGTAGTCTCTCCGTGACCATCAAGTCTTTTCTTTCTTTACCTCTTTTTATGGTTACTTTTTACTCATTCATTTCCTCCTATTTACTTAGCATTTGCTAGGTGTTGGCCTGGTAGGCATAAGGAAGTATGTATGACATAGACCTTTTAATCTGTTGGGGGGAAATGACAAGCTTTCCACACATTTATCCTTTTTCTGGGAAGCAGCATGGTATACTGGAAAGAGCATGAGCTCGGTGATCAGATCAGAGTTTGTTTGATTTTTGTTTTTGAGAAATGTTTACTTCCATTTGTCTTCCACGTGCAGATGCAGTGGTGACTGGGACAGAGGGGGAGCTTTGGTACTAGTGGGGGAGATGGACAGTCAAATAAATCAACAGGTAAATATATTACAGTGTAAGGTGATAAATGGCAGGGAGGAAAATGAAGGATAAAGGATGCCAGGAGGAAGTATCTTTAGAAAAGATTTTAGAGAAGGCAAGAGTTATTTGAATAGAGATGTGAATGAAGGGAGGAAGTTAGTAATGAATATCTGAGGGAAGGGGTTTGCAGCCATAGGGAGGAGCAGGTGCAGAGACCCTGAGATGGGCGGTGCTTGACCTGACCAGAGAGGCCAGCGTAGCTGGAGGGCACTGAGCTGAGGGTGGGGGTTAGGGACTGTGGTTGGAGGGATGCGCAGAGGCCGGTGCATGGAGGGCCTTGTAGGCCATTGTAATGCTTTTCAGGGGAGCCCTTGGAGAGTTGAAAGCAGAGAAGTAGCAGCTGGTAGACTATTTAGAAGATGATTCTGGTGGCTGGCAGAAGATGGATAGTAGAGCAGCAGGAGCAGAAGCAGCAGGCCCAGGTAGGACCCTTGTGTTGTTCAGATAAAAGATGATGGTGACTTGGAGTGGAAGCAGCAGTGTGGCCACAAGTAGTCAGATTTGGGATGGATTTTAAGGTTGAGCTGCCATGCCTTGCTGGTGAATTACAAATGGGATGAGAGAGAAAGAGAAGATCATTAAGGATGACCTCTTCAGTTCTGTCTCTTATTAGATAGGTGCCCTCAGACAAGCACTTAACCTGTCTGACCCTCATTTCTGTCTCATAAGAGAATGATAACCCCTCTCACATGGAATAGTAACATCTTGGAATAATGCTTTGCAAGTCTGTAGAATTCTTTTATTGCTGATGTCATTTTATCTGATACTTTCAGCACGCAGAGTTGTACACAAGTTGTACAATAATCCCTGTTTTTCTTTCATGGATCTCGGATACAGAAAATTGAGTTCATCTACTTAGTTGATGACTTCGTCATTTGCGTGACTGATTCATTGTTTTTACTTTATTCCTACTTTTCACTCCCGTTTCCCACATCATCCGCAGTTCCTGTAGGCAGCCATGTTAAATGTTGCTATAAAATTGATAGCACTGTTGTGTGTGGGTGTGTGCGCACATGCATGTGAGTTTAATTTACCTGATTGGGATTGTGCTGTAGATCTTCTGTTTCTTTATATTTTCGCTTAATACTCTTTTTCAGAATCTCTTCATATTGCTGTATGTACGTCCATTTTACTGCTTCTAACTGCCCCAGAGAATTCCAAAGTATCTAAAACATTTTATTTATTGTACTTTTTAGATAACCTCCAACTCCCTGCTGGCACAAACAACTGTGATAAACACACTCATTTGTGCTCCAGTATAGTCTTGTGCAAGAGGTCTGTTGTGATTGTGCCCAGGAGACGGGACTGAGCCATGGAGTAAGAACATATCTCACTTCACAAATGGATGCCAGGTTCCTTTCCAAAGTGACGATTCTGGTTTGCCCTCCCACCTGGAGCAGGAGAGAATGCGCCACATTCTTACCAACCTTTGTGTTATTGTTTTTCTAACTTTTGCCAGTCTGAAGATTGTGAAATAATATTGAAACAGAGTAAGGCTAGGCCTGTGAACCAAACTGACTCCATTTTCCCTGCAGAGGGCACTTTGTCACTTTTCCACAATTGGTCATGAGACCCGCCCCCCCAGGGCACATGATTACCCCATGGCCCACCCTGATAAAATAAACAGGTAAGAGGGGAAGGGATATTCACTGAGTTGCAAAACTCCTCCCCAAGGCTTGTGTACTGTAATTGTAAAAATTAAATTACAGATTAACCTTAAGACCTCTTTAGGAATGCCCACATGTGCACAAAGCTTCAAGGTGACCAGTGACCCTCTGGGGATCTGCCTTCTTGGGCCTACTGAGCAGGCACAAGGACCAAAGCCCTAGTTAAGCATGCATCCATGACACAGCCGGGAAGAGCAGAACTGACCACCTTCAGTGATGGTGGCCTGTACCCCGTAACTCCTTTCCCCGTAAAAGACCTTAACAGCTCTCTTCTGGGGGCTAGCTTTCCTGTAGCTACCCCCTTATGCATAAGTCTATCCCCTCTTTTAATAATGACCACCTTCAGTGATGGTGGCCTGTACCCCGTAACTCCTTTCCCCGTAAAAGACCTTAACAGCTCTCCTCTGGGGGCTAGCTTTCCTGTAGCTACCCCCTTATGCATAAGTCTATCCCCTCTTTTAATAAAGTGTTGTTTGCTTTACCCCTGGGTGCATCGTTCATCTCTGTGACCCAAGAGCCTAATTTGGTAAAAGCCAGGAGGTAAGGGGACTCTGGGTGCCTGGAATGTCCCTGGGATATTCCCCATGGAGCACATGTGCTGCTCTGATATCTGCACCAGTGAAAATTAGAAAGCCTTAGGCACCAGAGGAGACTCTAGCTGCAAGAGGCAAGTGATCACTGGGACTTTTTTGCTCCCTTGTCTCTGCTGCTGGTAAGTCTCTCCTGGAGCCCCTGGCCTAAATTCTGACAAGACAACATTTTATTCTCTTTTACTCTCCTTTTTCTCTCTCTTTTCTTCCTCTTTAAAGTGACTGCCAAACATCTACAGCTTAAACTCCTCTCAACCTCTGAGATGCATGCTCCCTCTGGCAGGCAATGGCTTGCCCTGATGGGTGACTAACAGAGGGGGGAAGGCCAGTCCTACACCATGAAGATCTTGCTTGAGCAGGGCCCCCCTGATGGGGGATTCATGAGAGTGATGGGGATTCATTCCCACGCCGTGCAGTGGCTGGAAGTCCGGAAGCCACTAAAAGTCTCTTACCTTTCTCTGATTTTTTGAGCCCTCTCCTACTGTTCTGTATAGGCGCACCCTGGAGGACTCCTGGCTATGCTTTGTTTCTCTGATTTAAGTCTAGGTGGTATATTTCTTCTTCGTGCCAACAACAGTGGGGAGAACCACTTTTATCAATTACTGTATCAGTGGAATAGGTTGGCCCTGCCAATTGGGACTAGGATAAAGTGGACCCCACTGTGCCTCTTTACTTTATTCCTACTTTTCACTCCCGTTTCCCACATCATCCGCAGTTCCTGTAGGCAGCCATGTTAAATGTTGCTATAAAATTGATAGCACTGTTGTGTGTGGGTGTGTGCGCACATGCATGTGAGTTTAATTTACCTGATTGGGATTGTGCTGTAGATCTTCTGTTTCTTTATATTTTCGCTTAATACTCTTTTTCAGAATCTCTTCATATTGCTGTATGTACGTCCATTTTACTGCTTCTAACTGCCCCAGAGAATTCCAAAGTATCTAAAACATTTTATTTATTGTACTTTTTAGATAACCTCCAACTCCCTGCTGGCACAAACAACTGTGATAAACACACTCATTTGTGCTCCAGTATAGTCTTGTGCAAGAGGTCTGTTGTGATTGTGCCCAGGAGACGGGACTGAGCCATGGAGTAAGAACATATCTCACTTCACAAATGGATGCCAGGTTCCTTTCCAAAGTGACGATTCTGGTTTGCCCTCCCACCTGGAGCAGGAGAGAATGCGCCACATTCTTACCAACCTTTGTGTTATTGTTTTTCTAACTTTTGCCAGTCTGAAGATTGTGAAATAATATTGAAACAGAGTAAGGCTAGGCCTGTGAACCAAACTGACTCCATTTTCCCTGCAGAGGGCACTTTGTCACTTTTCCACAATTGGTCATGAGACCCGCCCCCCCAGGGCACATGATTACCCCATGGCCCACCCTGATAAAATAAACAGGTAAGAGGGGAAGGGATATTCACTGAGTTGCAAAACTCCTCCCCAAGGCTTGTGTACTGTAATTGTAAAAATTAAATTACAGATTAACCTTAAGACCTCTTTAGGAATGCCCACATGTGCACAAAGCTTCAAGGTGACCAGTGACCCTCTGGGGATCTGCCTTCTTGGGCCTACTGAGCAGGCACAAGGACCAAAGCCCTAGTTAAGCATGCATCCATGACACAGCCGGGAAGAGCAGAACTGACCACCTTCAGTGATGGTGGCCTGTACCCCGTAACTCCTTTCCCCGTAAAAGACCTTAACAGCTCTCCTCTGGGGGCTAGCTTTCCTGTAGCTACCCCCTTATGCATAAGTCTATCCCCTCTTTTAATAAAGTGTTGTTTGCTTTACCCCTGGGTGCATCGTTCATCTCTAAAATAGATGATTTGGAAATTTACAAGCAGATAACTATGTATGTCTCCATCTTTTACATACTATTCTTTTCTTTTTACGGAGAATTTGATGTATTTTATATCCGGCTCAAGCAGAATAAGAGTGTGACTTTTAAAACAGCTTTATTGATGTACAGTTGACA